CAAGGTGCCCAGCTACCCTGTGTCTTGTGGAGATGGAAGGGGGGGGGTAGTAAGCTCCTGAGGGGTTCGGGTGTTAGTGATGATGAGATGCCTGAGACGTACTGGAGCTGGGGGCAGATGGCTGTAGCAGAAATGGCAGGGAAGGGTTCAGCTGTGCCTGTCCTCCTCCTGCCACTGGATCTCATGGAGGGGATAGTGCGAGCTCTGCTTTTTGCTTTAGTACAGAACTGGCAGCTTCCTGCCTTTGGCTCCTGCTGCTCTCGGTGCTCTGAGGTGGCTGTTCTCTCAGCAAGGGTGGCTGAAAAAGACACCTGCAATGGCTTCAGCAGCTTTAGAAGTAGGTGCTGTTCCGGCCTCTCTGCTGACCGGTGGGAGAAAGGCAGGATGGGCAGCTCGATGTGCTGTCCAGTTCAGCTGTCTGTGGTTGTGAGTCGCCAGCCGGAGGCTCTTCTGAAAACAGCTGAGACTGCTTTTGGTGGCTGTCCTGGCTGCCTGAGCCCTGAAGTGGAAGAGGTTGGAGGAGGTGGTGGCATTCCAGCACGGCATCGGCAACAAACATCTGGGAACCAGAAGCTCAGCTGGTGGCTGCAGCAGTTCCCATGGAGTGCCCAGTCTCAGCCCTAGATCAGGAGCAGCCTCTACAGAGGTTGCTCATCCCACTCAGCCAAAAGCCATGTTGATTTGACTGTGGCTCTTGTGTCCTCCTGGACCGAGTTAACAATTAACATACCTGCAGGTTTAAATTTAAGGGATGCTAATTTGTCTGTGAGGGCTGACTTTGCCTTCTGCTTTGTCAAAGCCAGGATAGTCATTAGAGAGAGTCGGAAAGTCCCAGCCCCTTGCTGGTCTTGCCAGACCCCGCTCTGAACACAGATAGGGGAGTGTTGAGAAGGCATCCCAGGTTTCCTACAGCTGACTTGCTCAATTACAAATGTTCTGAGTGCCTCTGTAGAAACAGCCATTCCCGTATTTGCTGAAGAAAGCTTCATTCCTTCCTGAGGCATCTGCTCCCATGAGAACAGGCTGAGGAGTATTGCCCCACTGCGGTCAGAGCAGAAACGTTTCGGCCTGTGAAGGAGACTGTTGCAAAATGCTGGGGGAGGGAGGTGGAGTTGCTCAGACTCTCCCTTGTAATCCAGCTGTGATTCGCCCCCCAGGTTCTCTGGCCAATACCTCGGGGGTGCGACCCCAACAAGTGAAACGCAGTGTAATTTGCCTCAAAGCAGCCAGTAACCCCACAGAAACCGTGGTGCTGCTTCCAGGAATGAAAGGAGCCATGGGTCTCTTCATGCTGTGCCACAAGAGGGAGCCCAAGAAATCCCCATAAATCGCTTCCAGTAAAGAAAGAAACTTTGCAGAAGGCCTTGCTACAGATAGTGCGGTATGGTAGAGATCTCCTTATGCCTGTGCCCAGCATCCTCACAAGTGTCTCGTGCCTGTGGTGGAAACAGATGGGGTCAGTGCTTTCAGATTTGGGTCCTCAGAGTTAATCTGTAACCTTACAGTTAGGACCCGATCCACTATATTTGGTGGAAATTTTTTCTACTGAATTCGGTGGACTTTGGATCAGTTGACTGGCACTGAATTTGAAGTGGTTTTTTTTTTTTTTTTTTTTTTGGAGTGGCTCTTAAGAGCTGCTGTCTTGCTCACAGATCTGAGTAAAGCAACGTTTGGGTTTCCACAAAGGCAGGGGGAGCCAAGGTCTCCGAGAAACCCTGTTGTGAAGGAATGGGTATACCGTTAAGCAACTCAAATCTGGAAAGCACGGCTGTGAAACATGAAATCCTGGCAGGCCGGTTTCTCATCAGGTTCGATCATTTAGGGACAGTGTCAGCCCTTATTCTGATGTGGCTGGTGTCAGTGCGGTGACTCAGGGCAGGGATCTGGCCAACATATTCAATAAACTGGAAGGAATATGGGAATTGCAGTAACTTAAGAGAAATCAGGAGAAGGAAGAACACGACTCTCCAGCACGCTGAACTCCTTTGGATTTTCCAGCTCGGGGAAGATCTTTGGCACAGTCTAGAAGGCAGAAGCCTTTCCAAGCTCTGATCTTTCCCAAAACATTCCTGTGGGTGCCAGAGCATCCCCATTGCTCACCAAGTGCTGCGCACCCCCAGGAATGGGCTGAAGGTGCGGGCATGGTGCTAGGGTGCCACAGAATCTTGCTCTTCCCAGGAGGCAGGGGGAGGGAGAAGCTTTGCACTTTAGATACCCAGAGGGTTGCACAAGCACATCATGATGTTTACTGTTCTGGTTTTGTGTTTTCCTAGCACAGGAATCCCCCTTTTTCTGGGATTATTTTGCAAGATCTTAACAGTGACTGAAAATTAAGGACAGAGTAGTGCAAACTCTACCCTCTCTGCTGGAGGTTAGCATTGGTGGAGCAGAGACAGAGGGACGCTGCTCTTTGCTCGGCCTGACTCGCAGTCCATCATGGTAGCAGATACCACCTGGGTCTGCTTGGCTCGCTGCAGATATAGGTGCTGTTCTGCCATATACATTCTGGGGGCTGTAGGCTCAGGGAAGGGGCCTGGGAGCAGTTTCAGCCCGAGGTGGGCTCTCTTTCTCACCTTCTGCCCACTCAGCCACTCATGGGCAAATGGCCTTTGACGAGCTTGCGAGGCTGAGCGAAGAGGAGCACCACATCCAGCATTAGTCAGCCTGGCAGCAGGATTGAACCTTGCAGAGTGCACCCCTGGGAAGCGCAGGAAGAGGGGGGTGAAAATCCCACAGCATGGTGCGGAAGCGGTGGAAAACGTCAGCCAGCAGCAGTGCTGCAGAGCATGAAAATAGTAGTGCAAGAGTTAGGGCCTAAACCTTCAAAGTCCTGAGTGCCCTTAACGGCCATTGATTGCTGGAGGAGTTCTCTCTTGGGAAACGTGAAGAACTTATTTTGCCATGAGCCAGCTAAAAGAGCTGTGGCGGCATTACA